TTATACAGTGCTCAGCGAACAAGGAAACTTCACATTCACAATGGAACCATTCATAAACGTTCACTCTCCTCCTAAAAAAAAAAGTTGCTCTTAGCATTTGGGCAAGAAGTAATTGGGATCACTCAGCTTGTCTGATGCTGATAATGGGGCAATGGGAAATTCCTGTCAGAGAGTTTGTGGTGCAAGGTGGTTTCGCAACTGTCTTGGCAGGCTCTGAGTGCTCCACATTGGGACGGTGAATGAGTTGAAGCATGCTCACATAGCTGTCATTAAACATATTTAAAACAACAACTTAACAACAAAAAAGACAAAGCTTATGCAGTGATAGTTCCCCTACTATTTGAGAATTATTAATAGCAATATGCAAGAACGCAATGTGTGTTGAATGCATTTAAATATGAAGTTTTCTGTGAATAAGACCAACATTTTGTAGTTTTTAAAAAGAAGCTAAGGGCCGCTGCCAAATTACACATTAATACAATACAATTGAACGCAAAGACAAAGATTTAACAGAACAGTTGATGAATGATGTTGGCCAATAGTGCAGCTATTTCATGGATATAAAATTCCCAAAATATATATGTATTTTTTTTTAATTAAGTCATATTTGTGTTCTAACAGTGTCTATCAGTATACTTGCCTCACCGAATAATAGAATAAAAAATAAAATAAAAAGTTTTTCAAAGAACTTTGTGATCCTCACTTAGCAAAAGGAAAGAAGCTGATATCTGTTATGATCAATTATTTTAAAAAAAATCACTCCCTGAGACACTTAAGTTGAAGAAATTCTTCAGTTTTGTAATGCACTTGCATTTCCACTGTTTCTTCTCAGTCGATTCTAACAGCTTATAAAAGAGTTAAAAGAGTTGATTAGTTCTCTTTAAAAGGGAATGGCAACATTAGTGTCCTTAACCACATGTTTCTGTGCTCCAATTAATGTTATTTTAAGAAAATGGCCATGCAGCCTTTCAGCCAAGAGTTTTTATGCCAGGCAAAGCAGAGTTAGTTTTTAAACCACATGTTCCAATAACCGCAGTATAAATCTACAACTAAATTGTGAAGGAGTTTAGCTGTCTATGTTTTCAAACATTTGACTGAAAAAGTCATGTCTAGAAATCTTGTCTAGAACATAACTCACACATATTAAACAGCCTTGTTCAAGAATAAAAAAACGAATAAAATAAAAAATAAAATAAAAAAACAGTATGAAATATGAAGGTCTTACATGGGCCTTTATAGATGTGTGCTATAATATTTACAAATATTTTGGATCACCTAAGCATCAATATTACTTATTACAGACTTTTCCAAAAATCAACTTATCTTATTTTAGCTCATTGTTTTGTTTTTGAGCCCATTGTGATATGAAGTTTAACTAAAGTATTTATCATAATGGCAGGGGAAGTCCTTGAAATTTATAGAGAAGGAATTATAGAATCATTCATCGTTTTATCCTCGAAATACTGATTAATGAACGTAAGCTTGCAAAATACAGTCTGTATCTGTTTAGTAACTGTATTGAAGTGAACGTGGGAAGGTTGAGATGTGCCACAGCTACTGTGTGGATCCATGCTGATAATGATAACAGCTGAAAGAGATTACCTGCAGACTGAGTAACTAGCATTCAGGTTTCAATTATTATCCCTAAGTGCAAAGAAAAGTGGTGCAAAATTGTCACAAGCGTTGGGAGTCTTTTATGTGTACATTTTTTACATAATAAGGGCTTAATTTAGTCAAGCTGTTGCAAAACTGTTACAGACCTGGACACAAAAATAGACTGAATCATCATCACTTATTTCCTGGATTTTCTTTTCTGTTGGCCAAGCATCATGGAAAATCTGTTGTTTATCGATTACCAAGATACTAAAACATGCTTCTTGAAGGTGCAAACTCATACAAAATCCAGTCATGTGTGCACAAAAGAAAATCTGCATTTTGGATAACATCTCAAACAGACCATTACGTCAATCGATGAACCCTTAGATTAATTGTTGTGTTGTACATACTCAGTTTTCACCATAGAAAACGAAGTGTCATTAAACTGTTACAACAGAATAGTGTTGTTATCATAAACCACACTAAAACTAAAAAAAAAACAAAAACATTTTAATCGTCTTAATTGAGATAAAGCTTAGTTATAAAATATCCATGTTTTAATTTTTATAAATAAATATAAAATAAAATAAATATTTGATGAAAATCGTAAACTAAACATTTTGGTAACACTAAGGTCTTATTTGTTAACATTAGTTAATGCATTAACTAACATGAACTAACATGAGAAATATATTTGAACAGCATTTATTAGCTTTTGTTAGTTAGTTACTTAAAATGCCCATTTTCTTGTTAGTTCATAGTGCATTAACTGATGTAAACATATAACTTTTGATCTTAAAAGTGTATTAGTAAATGTTGAGATTGACATTAGCTAAGATTAATAAGTATTGTTCATGCTTAGTTAACTAATGTAGTTAACTAATATTAACTAATATAACTAATATAATTAATGAAACCTTATTGTAAGGTTTTGGCAATTTTTTTCAAATGTTGCCTTAATAAATGAAATGTTTAAATACTAAAATTACTAACTGAAATAAAACTAAAACTAAAGCAGAAATATATATAAAAACTAATACAAATGACAAAAGCATGTAACAATAACTAAAATTGGAACTGAAAATAAAAAATAACAGCCCATTCAAAATATTAATACAAACTATGATAGTTTATAAATAAAATAGCACTGCAGCAGATGGTTTTACAGCAAATTGATAGTGTAACCACATTGCTTTGTATTACAAAGCTTTGGTATTGGCTTATAATTAAAAAGTTTCACCAGAGCATTAAGAGCATCCTTCAAAAAGTTAAATAAGGAAAATAATTTGAAGCTTTGGTGTGAAACCTCCAGGTCATTGTTTTGTTTTGAACAGTTTCGTTTCTCAAAAACTCTGAAAACTCTTTTTAAAAAGTACATTTTTGTACCTTTTAGGTATTAATATGTACATTTGAGATACTACTATGTACCTTTAAGGCACCAATGTGGACTCTTTAGGTATAAAGGTGTACCTATTGACAAAAGCTGCCCCAGTGACAGTTTTTGTACCTTCTTTTCTGAGAGTGTAAGTAGACAAGAAAAACAAAAAGGCCTATTGACTAAAGATGAGGCTTGAAGGCACAGCGGCTTCTGCGAAACCACAGGTCTTGTAGAAAAAAAATGTATCTGTGCAACTGTAAGTGTTATGATTTTCCATGTGACGTTCTAAATGACAGTTGATGACAAGGTTAAATGACACTTAAATGATTGGATTTCATAGATGGGTCTCTGGTGTGCCCAGGTGGCATACTGTACCACCATCAGTCTGTCAGACGTGCTCTTGTTTGCCAAGGTATTTGTGGTATCCTGGATTATTTACAATGCAAATGATGCAAAGAAGCATTTTCCACACTACTGCACCAAAGAATATTTTCCATGAGCTTCATCGTGCGGCACCGGGAGCACGTCCTGCTTGCTTTATCGAGCAGAGAATTACGAACGTTAGCAAGATTTCAAAGCACATAAAAGTCATTTCTAGTCAACCGCAAGCATGCCCAGGTGAATAGATATATTTTACATTTATTGAATATGGTTTCATTTCCATTACACCACAATACAAGCAAATACTGTATATTTAAACAGGTTCGCCTACATTATTTTCACTTGTATTGAGATCTACTGGAAGGCTAGAAGACAATTAAAACAAATTAATCTGTTTTAATTGGCAGATACATTTAAACATAAATAATTTGTATGGAATGGAAAATTGTACATATGCTAATATGTATGTGCATCTTAATTTCTGTATTTACTGAAGTTAACAACAAAGAAGACGTTTGGGAGAAAAGGACGAAGAGCAACACATCTGAAAGAAAGCAAGAATAAACTTCCATGGAGATGTGAAAAACATTCAGATGACGTATTTGGCATTGCAGTAAACAAAATGAGAACTCAGCAGAACTCTAACATGTCTAATCGATCATGGCAGTATGCTTTCCAAACACACATTCACACACACTCCTTGATAAATGCTATTGTTTGGGACTGTTAGCTGTTGGACGTAAAAAATCGACTGAGTCATTCATCTTGTTTCTTTTCTTGTATTTGGCTATTTCCTTCTTTTGGCCGAGTATAATGGAAAATCTGTTCTTTTATCAATAATCAAGTCACTACAACATGCTTTTCTGAGCTGCATAGTAAATAAAACTTTGTCTAGCTTGTTATATTTAAAAATACAGGCATGTATGCACAAGAGGAGGTGCACATTTTGGGTAACACTTCCAAAAGATCATAAAATCCTTAAAGGAATAGTTCACACAAAAATGAAAAATTGCTGAAATTTTTCTCACCCTCAGGCCATCCAAGATGAGTTTGTTTCTTCATTTAATCAGATTTTAAGAAATGCAGCATTACATCACTTGCTCAACAGTGGTTCCTCTGCAGTCAATGGGTGCCGTCAAAGAGCTGAATTAAACATCACAATAATCCACAAGTAATCCACTCGACTCCAGTCCATTTAACGCCGTGTAAAGGGAAAAGCTGCGTGTTCGTAAGAAACAAATCCATCACAAAAGTGTTTTAACTTTAAATCGTTGCTTTCAGCCAAATTACCATAATCCATAATAATGCTTCATTCAGTGAGAAAGTCCATCCCCTGTTGTCCTCTCACATCAAAATCCACCGACATATTTGTTTAGAACTGTTTTCGTTTGTAAACAGTGCTTGATCTGTGCATATTTCTGTCCTGACTCAGACGAGATGGTGTATTTTAGACGGAAACAGTATTTTGACGTTAAAAACATCTCAATGATGGATTTGTTTCTTAAAAACAAGCAGCTTTTCGCTTCACAAGATGTTACTTTATGGACTGGAGTCGTGTGGATGGCTTGGATTATTGTGGTGTTTTTATCAGCTGTTTGGACTCTCATTCTGACGGCACCCATTCACTGCAGAGGATCCACTGGTGAGCAAGTGAGGTAATGCTAAATTTCTCCAAATTTGTTCTGAATAAAAACAAACCAATCAAAGGCCTGATGATGAGGCAATTTTCAACAAATTTTCATTTTGGGGTGAAATGTTCCTTCAAGATAAATCCAAAAGATTAAACCTTAGATTAGCTCTTGTATTGTAGAAAACCTCTCATCGTAGAAAACAAACTGTGTATATAAACATTCTGTATATAAACACTATTAATTAAGAGGAAGGACATAACAACACAACGTCAAAGTACAAAAATCTCTTTGTATACATCTATAAATCACAAAATAGGACGTGGTAAGTGGAAACAGTGAGAACTGATCTTTCTGAAGAGGTAAAAACCTCAATGTAGACAGCACATGAGAGAGGCAGATGTGAATCGACTGTCCTCGGTAAAGTCTTTCAGTTTTGCATCTAACTGTCTCTGCTTTGTGGGTTTTAATATGTCCATGTCTTGTCCATGAACAAGCCAAGAGCTTTGTAGCAGTCATATGTTGTCTCATGAGGATATATGGTGCTGGGTGATAGTCCAAAGGGGAGCTATGCAGTCTTACGTGGCCTTCCAGATATAGTCTGGCTGGTAAAACAAGGCTATACCCCCAACAACATGCCCATGAAATCTGAACCATTCTGTATTGTGATCGATGCTCCAGCTGCATTGTCCACGAATATGGAAGTGTACTGCCCAGCCTGTAAGAAAGAAAACATCACATTATTCAAAGTCAATGTCAATCAGCAGCACATTTTACTGTGAGGAGGGTGGCTTAGGCCCTTCTTGATTGGCTGAGTAAATATTTGATGTATTTGAGGATATTCAGCAAGATATTCACAACTCTTACCTGAAGTTCCAGCAGTCCATGGACAGATACTGTAAATATTTTGCTGTTACTCTCAAGGCCAACAATCATTTCCAAGGATCTGAAAAACGGTACAGAAAATATTACAATTATAAATGTTATTATTTTTTACATTTTATTTTATTTGAGCAAAAGATAAACTAGTATAATTTTAAAATAATTCCTTTATAATTAGTTTTTACTTAGTGAAATCATGGCACAGTGTTAAGGTTATTCAAAGAAATATCACTTTGTTTTGTTATATATTGATAAAAATGTCTAAAAATGAATAATTTCCCTTTAAAGGTCTCTATGAGTGCTTTCCAGCAATAGATTTTAGGAATTACCCTTTCTAAGACCAACAGGGACCCCACGAGTCAAAGGTGGCAGTAAAGGTTACTTAGGTGACAAGGACCAGACTGAAGGTGAGAGGACATTTTTTAAAGGCCTGCTCCATTTTAACACAGGAAATGCCTTGCTGGTTCCACACAAGCTAGAACAGTCAACGTACTTTACAGCCCATGCTTTACTCACTAAGAGCAAAAGAGTGCTAACAACCAGCAAACACTGGAAGAGAGTTTATCCAGATCTGCCACCTTCCCCACCTCGCGTACCCCTAGTAGGTTTTTTTTTCTCTCTTTTCTTTTAAGTAAATTCATTTTTGTTTGATCTGTGAAAGAGGATTTTTATGACATGCACTCACACTGAAGCTTTTTCATAGATTTACATGCGCTTTTATGACATTAAGCCACTGAAATAAAAACCACATGCTCTGAATGTAAGAAGTAGCTCAAGAAAAATACTCATTTTCATCATAAGCAATGTATTTCTTAGAGTCTGAGTCATGAATTTATATTGATGTGGATGTGGTCTGTGGACAACGGGTCCAAAATCAAATGTTAATAAATAGACTACTTGAGGGTAAATTATACATAATGTAATCATAATAACTTTTCTAGCAAAATTGCTGGTGTCAGATTTTCTCCTGGATGGTTTTGCTAACAGAACTGACACTAAGTGTGACAGAAAGACCTGAAATCAATGAAAATCACAAGAAACTCTGTGTGGCCAGTTGGAAACAAAATTCTAGCACATTAATTATATACCGTCTGAATGATTCATTCATGAATCAAACATCGCTACTTCTCTCAAACGTTTTTCAGTAAATAACTTACATTTTAGTCTGTTTATCACGCAAATCTATTGTATGACTTCATAGGACTTGTACAGAGCCCCTACAGGGACAAGGTGGAGGAAAAATATAAAATGTTTGCATTCCCTGAGAAACATTGTGTTCACTTGCAAAAGTGTTGCATTCCCCCAAGAAACGTTGCGTTCACTTGCAAAATGTATGCATTCTCTCGCAAAAGTGTTGCATTCCCCCAAGAAACGTTGCGTTCACTCACAAAACTTAAGTGTTCTCTCGCAAAAGTGTTGCATTCCCCCAAGAAACGTTGTGTTCACTTGCAAAACGTATGCATTCTCTCGCAAAAGTGTTGCATTCCCCCAAAAAACGTTGCGTTCACTCACAAAACGTAAGTGTTCTCTCGCAAAAGTGTTGCATTCCCCGAAGAAACGTTGCGTTCACTCACAAAACTAGTTTTGTCTTTTTTAAAGAGATAGTTCACCCAAAAATGAAAATAGTTGCTGGTAGCATTGACGTCCGTAGTATGGGGAAAAAATACTATGGAAGTCAGTGGGGACCAGAAACTGTTACCAACATTCTTCAAAATATCTTCTGTGTTCAAGAATAATAAAGGTTTTGAAGAACATAAGGGTGAGTAAATGATGACAGAATTTAATTTTTCTTGAACTATCCCTTTAAGCTATGAATGGCATTTGTAATGGCATATTACATTTTTTTTTATTTTTTATATATATATATTCTTTCATGTTTCACAGAAGAAAGTCATACTGTTTTGGAATGACATGAAGGTCAATAAATTATGACAGAATTTTTATTTTTGGGTGAACTATCCCTTTAATGTGAGACAAAGCAAACTTACGTATATCGGTGGCAGAGTGATTCAATGCAGATCAAAACTCTGACATTGTCTCTGGCTCTCAGCTGGTTCTTACTTTTCTTCACCTCAGTGTGGTCTGCAAGAAAGTACACAAAGTACAAAAAATTATATTTCCTGAAAATACTTTTCAGACATGCACTACAATCTGTTGTATGAAGAGTAAAGGCTGTTGAAATGTTGTTTGACAGAGCTTTGTATGTGGAGCACACAATGCCACAGCCAGTCATGTTTGACCTCCAGCCGCATCTAAATATTGGTCTCTTCTATAAGTCCGCAGCGGATTTGTGAATTTGTTTGGGGATGTCGATTTTCTGCCACAGTCTACTGCAGAGAGCCAATTCCTTTTCCCTGAGCTCCATGGCGGCGCCACAGCTTAGAAGAGAGTCCCTGGGGCTTATTTCAGTGTAACTCCACATAAGCAATACCTCTGAAAGGACGGATGAAGGATCACTGGACCCCCTCTTTAGAGCATCAACCAAAAAAAAAAAAAAAAAAAAGGTACAGTTGTGCGCTTTGAAGCACAGCACAAATTTTTTAGCTTTTTAAACATGCAGGATTGTGCAAGACACCCTAATAAATGCAGCACGGTTGGAATGTAAGTTACAGGGGAATGCAATCCATCTGTTGAGAAAGTGCCAAGTCTGAAACACATCCATTATATGATGGCATCTTCTGATAGAGATGACACTGAAATATTCATTTGTACTCCATGCATTTGTGTTTATAGCACAGAAACTTTTCCATTAATCTTATTTAGTAGACAATTTTATCCAAAGCATTTTTAATGTATTAAAAAAAATTCTCCATATCCTCCACACTCTGTAATTACATATATATTAATATTATTATTAATAAATTACTATTTTAACTGTAAATTGTGTACCATCTATACATTTGTACTTTAAAATCACTGTAAATTGTGTCCATTTTTGCAGTTCATGCATTCCATGAATCCAACCCTATTGTTTGAACATGGGTTTGATTCCGCTAATCATTATCATACCCCTAAACCTCATGTCTTAAACTGAAAAAGTGTAAGAAAACAAAAGATTACAAAAGAGAGAAAATTTGCTATTGGTGAGGTGAACCTTTCAACCTTTCCTTACCAATATGAACATTGGCAGAGAACTGATAAATTCCAGTTACAGGAGCTGTAAATCGGCCAGTAGACTGATCCATCCCCGTCCCTCTGAGGAAGGCACCTTTGGCAGGAGGCTGAAGGTATGAAACAGGTGAGAATTATAGAGGGCCTACAATGAACACACCTAACCATTGATCAAACATCAACACTACTCACTCTGAAAATTCTACTACGACTTGCATTCCAAGCATCTCAAGAATATATTTTTCAGCAGAATTCTTGCTCTCCACACTCTAATAAACTCACATGCAAATCGAAGCATTCTGCATACAGCATTCGAAAATATACCAGTTTTAGGGCTCAGTTTGGGAGCACATAACCATTAAATGGTTAGAAATATGTAGACATCTGCCAAGAATCCTCCGATTCTGTTTTTGATCATAACTGCACACTGCAGCCATGCCAGACCACATTATTCTGCATTACGCCTCCAGAACCCACCAAGATTTCCAGACTCAGACGCTTTTATAATGAGTCCTCCGATTAGTGTGCTAAACACTGTTCGGTTCTGCCATTTTTGTGCTGTCAGCTTTGAACACATACAATGAATGCCTTTCATATACATGTCAGATCCCAACAGATATGTGAGAAGAGTGTAATTTTATTTGACATGTATTTCTACACTGGATGAACAAAACTTTGCATTGACATTTACAACCGTTATTTCATCCATGTGACAGATTTGAAAGTCTATATGATCACAGTTTCTTTAATACGGAAAGTAAGAATCATACATCCTCAGTGATCAGCAGAATAAATTGCTCATTGGAGCTTAGATTAAATCTTGTCTACATTAATCAATCGCAGTTTTTTCCCTGAGTAAAGGACGCTCCAAAAACACGCTAACATGGATTTTCGGTGTGTGTTCTTGGCTGATCAGAATGCCACAGGATAAAGCTCTTAGTTAAAACAGCGCACTGTTTCAAATGGTGTCTATTTTTATACACACCATTCACTCGTCCAAAACTTCAGACAGAGTACCTTTTGTACACCACCAAGAAAGCAATCTAGCACATTTGAAAAGGATATATTTTTTATGAGAAGGGTGGCTTAGGCCCTTCTTGATTGGCTGAGTAAATATTTGGCCAATCCAGTGTCTTGTCACTAATGTTCATATCAAGAGTCAGTCGGGAGGTTACAATCACAGGTGACCTTAATTCAGCTGTGTCTTTAAAGCTGATTGGGGCGGAGTTATAGTATCTGTCTGACTGAGCAGTGGCAGACAGCTTATTGATTTTGTAATTCTGTTTGGTGATGGAGAAATTACACACTTCATTTTGAACACACACAGGTTGGAACCATTTCGAAATGGTGTTTAGTATTCTGAAAAAGTGTAATGTGGGGTTTGGGTTTTGTTTTTGTGTCATGTTCTCATGTCTTTTATTTTGGAATTATTTCATGCTGTTAGTGTCATGCTTCCCTTGCCCTCTTGTCTTCATGCCATTGGTTCCTCTGTTCTTTGTGTCATGTTCTGATTGGTTGTCTTAGTCATGTGTCTTGTTTCCCATTGGTTTGTTCTTGTCATGTGACCCTC